TCCACTGAGCTTTAATCTCCTGTGTGAGGAGCAATCCAATCTCCCTCACTCCCCTCCCTTCGCCTCTCCCTCTGCGCTCCCACGGCATTCCGATCCCCTGACACACAGGTAAGAGCAGTCGCTGCCAGGTGAGAGCAGATACAGTACAAGGTAGATATTTATAACCCTGAGATTGTACTCTAACCCTGGCAAGGAAAAAGAGAAACGAGTCTTGGAATGCCGGCCTACAGATTATTAAGGATGAGGTTCTCCTACATTTGCTTAGATTTTATGATGAATCCAGTTCTGCAAATATGACATGGATATAGAATATGGGAGCAAATGGGCGCAGAGGATCCCAGGGCGTTCTGGCCGGTAGCAGTGGAGCAGTAGAAAAGCACTGTGTCTGGCCTGAAATCCACAGGCTCACAGATTCAGGCTGAAGAGGGGGGATTTTCCAGGGAATGGGAGGAAGTAAACAGTTCCGGCTCCGTTGCCAAAGGACACAAGCTATTCAAGGATCACCAGCCTCCTTCCAGAAGAGTAGGGTTGTCTACCACCAGGATACAGGCACAACTTTGTTTTTTTCCAATCTCAACAATTATTTTAAAAACAGTTTTTTTTACAGGCTGGTGGAGCACCATGAAATATCCTTTCCTGCAGCCCTGGATGGGCAGGATCTGTGAGTGTCCACAGCTGGGAGAGACTCCAGTGGGTCCTGGTCCCCCCTCTTCCCTCTAGCCAATCTCTTCTCTGCTGCTCCAGAGCCTCGCTAATTCCTCCTTAAGTGGAGGCTTGTAATTAGCCAGGAGAAACAATTTTCAAATCTGTCAGACATCTCTTCTGAATTGTGCTGGACTGCAGCCAATCTCTACATTGCAATGGAACCAGCTCGCATTTCACAGGAGTCCGTAGTCATAGAGGGATTTAAAGACAACGCAAACTAATTAAAACCTAAATTAAGTGATGGATCAGCCTTGTCAGGCGTAACTGTGACAGCGGCAAAGACTACTGACAGATCTTAATCATGTCACGGGTCTTTGGTTCAAAGCCATCGGCCTGTGGGTGCTCTCTCAGATGAAGACAGGGCGTGTCGGATTCCCTCCTCACAGGGGCGATTGCACAGCTTCTTTTGAAAGTCATCGAAAGATGGAGGCAGAAAAGAAAGGAGAGAATCTGCCCCCGTATCACGAAGCAGCTGTCACTCTGCTGTGTTCAGGTCGACTCAGTGGTCAGAAAGGAGGGCTGTGCGGCATCGTGGGCAGGTGAAGATGTGAAGAGCAGACCCTCCCTGTCTGCTGGCCAGGCTGTGAGCATGACGCCCCAGAGGGGGGATCTGGGGTTCAGGGGCTCAGTGCAGGCGCCCGTGGAGAGCGGCGTGGACCCCTCACCCCGCCCACCCCGTGGGCTTGTGGACTCAGAGCCTGCAGGAGCACTCACATCACACAACTGTGGGCCCTCTTTCTCTCTTCCCTTTTCGTCTTCCTCATTCTGTCCCTCCCCATCTTATCTGTCTTGCATTGTCTCCACCACTCTGCCTCGTGCTGCTGTTGAGGTCTGTTTCCTCTCTACAAAGCACTACTGTTACTTTCGTCCTTTAACTTTCTTCTGCATCTGCACATATTAAAATAAGCTAACTGACAAATGCTGAGGACAGGCAGTTCGGCATAAAGGAATCTGTGGTCTGTGCTCTGCAATTTGCAGAGGACTGAAGTGGCTCCCTGCCTCAGCATGTGCAAAGAATTAAAGGCTCAATTAGCATGTGCAGTACTAACTACTGAGAGAAATGCGCCCACCGTGACAATCCAAAGCAGAGCACGATCACGAAAAAGACCTACAGCCCGCGGAGAGGGCAGTGCCTTCGGTATCCCTCCTGCGTGTGTCAGTACAAGGCAAGGGGACACCCAGCGAAGAGGAGCTGTCGAGAAGGGAATAAATATTTTGTGTGCAGGACAATCCATCTCCATTATTAATCTCTGGGGAGCCATTCCAGCTCTGAAAGCTCCAGGACCTGTCTGACAATCCACAGGGGTCTCTTTACAGACACTATCCTTCATCTTCGAGATGGACAGTCTTAATCCACCCTCTCGTCTCCTGTCCTCTCCTAGGGTTCTCACAAAAATATTGAGGAAATTCCAAGATTCTCTCCCAGGGATTCTCTCAGACCCCATCCTGTGTGTTTCCTGTTTCTGATGGCCCCAGAGTGAGGGGCAGGGGTGCAGGGGCTCTATAATTAGCTGGAACGAGATTCTGAATGGCGGCCTGGTGACGGAGCAGGAAGAGAGTGACGGGTGGGAAAGCTCGGAATTCGTGCTGACAGACACTCGCTCAGCGCCTAACTGGGATGACAAAGGAAAACCAGGAGCAACCACAGCAAACCAACTCAAGACACGCAAAGGCCTCGAACCCTCGACACAGGACACCAGGAGAAACCACACTAAAGTGCACTGAGAACCGAGAGCAGGACGCACCTTTTTACACAAAGGGCTGTGGGGGGTGGAACAAGCTGCCCAGACATGTTGTTGAGGCCGATACCCTGCTGAAAAAATAGCTGGATGAGACACTGAGGTAAATCAGATGCTAAATACCACTCGGGCTTAACTGTGTGGCCTCCTCTCATCTGTGTTCTTACACAGCACGGAGAATACATGGGCCGGAAGAAAAATGAAGATACAAAGATCAGTCGGAAATGTACTGTACAAGCAGAACAATGAACGTGCTGCCTGTCTACAAATGGACAGATGTTAACAAGATTTATTACAGCCACAGACTGCAATCAGGCATCAGGGTAGGCCATCTGACATGGCATTTTTATATTTTTTATATATATATATCTTTTGCTTGTAAAAAACAGAAAGCCAACGATAAATAAACATTTTAAAGACTCGGCCAAACAAATATTTTTAAGACTCAGCCATAAATAATAAACTTTCATTTAATGTGAGAATCTGAGTGGTCCAATTTTCCCATGAGGGCGAGTGAAAGAGAGAGATTCTGACAGGCTCACAGCGCGGGACAGCGGCCCTTATCGCTGCCCGCCAGCACCAGGAGCACAGGAGCACCCCAGACTCCACATCACGCAGCTGCCTCCCACAACCAGCTTACTGCCTGCTCGTCATGTTGTCTAAGAATAGCACTGGGTTTCTAGGCTGTGATTGCTGTACTTGTGTGCTGAGCAGGGAAATGGCTGAACTGCGACTTCGGCTCAGGCTCGTGGCTGTGCTGGCCGGGCTGCTCTCGAGAGCTCTGGCCTGCGGAAGCGCTGCTGGCCGACCGGCTCCAGGCCCTGAACCGGCCGACAGGAGCACTCCCATGTGCACAGCTGGCGACACCAGGACCGCCGGCTACACAATTAAAGTGCATCAGAGCGAGCCACCGAGAATTCAGGCAGGATTCGAGGGGCTTGAGCGTGAGAGATGGGTGTGACTCAACTCCTAGGAAAACGCTCCCTCCTTTTCAGGTTTGGAGTCACAGGAGGAGCTGCCCCCCTCCCCCCGACCTGCCGCTGGTGAATTCCTGATCCTGGGAAGCTCTGGGGGCTCCTCTACAGATCCGTCAGGAATGCAGGCAGCGGGAGGCACTGACTCCCTCCCCATTCCTGCTCAACACTGTGGCCATTGTTCCCTGAGGACACCCCCGTCCCCTGCATTCCTCATGGAGACCTGATACCTGGACACTCTGGATGCTGTAATGGGAACCAGGATGCCTCTCGGGACACTGCAGCTCCCTCTACCCATCTGCCCCTCCCCGAAACTCTCCTCTCTGTGCTTTGGCCAGAGGTCCTGATTCCTTCCTGCAGCCTGTGTCTTTTTCAAGGCCCTGTGCTCTGGGACCAGGAGCAGGGCTGCAGAACCCACACCCCTGGCAGAGCTCAGCCTGTGGCCCGGGCTGCACTCTCACACACACACACACACACACACACACACACACACACACACACACACACACAGGTGTGCTGCGCAGGAGGGGATAATTACAGCTCTATAAAAGGGCAGGTCTCTGCAAGCTGCAGCACCTCTCTGGAATGAGCTGAAGCACGCCAATAAAAACCCATGAACTCATACAGAGGGTATGGGAATGAGAGAACGAGACATGTACAGGGCATGTCTGCTTGCTACCCCCTCTCCAAAAACCTGCACAGTGCACCACAAATCAAGACCGGAGCTCTAAATTTAGTTACAGGCTGTACACTGCTGTGTGTGCAATGACCGATATTGTGTTGATCTGCCCTCGTCACTCCGCGGTCACACTGCTTGATGCAGAAACGCAGCTCCACAGAAAACTGCTGCAAACACGCTGCTCTCGGGTCTGTTTCCTGTTCAGCTGCGGGGGTGCGGAGAGCAGCAGGTGATGTTAATGACAGGGCCACCTGACTGACTGAGTGAGTGAGTCAGTTCCACCTGCCTGGCGATGGATGAGCTATTGCAGAACTTCACACTGACTGCTCATGTACGTGCAAGACTCAGATCAGAGTGAATGAAACACACCGGTGTTTCTTCATTGGATTCATCTCACTCCAACTACACTGCATTAATACCAGTTGGCAATGATAGAAAAGACGAGGAGGAAGTGAGAGAAGAGCTGAATCTCATAACACACTGTAACTCCTGCTTGCATCTCCACTGTCTAAGACTTTGCACCGCGAGGCGTAGAAACAAGAGTTTCCTCGTCTATTGCTTTGCATTGACGTGAGAGTCATTAAGAAAAAATAAAGAGAGACAGAGAAGGGGTGGCTGGCAGAGCAAAAAGATTAAAAGCTAAACAAAGACTAACACTAAACAAAATTAGCTGGCAAGTGTGCAGAACGTCACACCTAAACCACTCTGATCTGAAAGGAAATTATGACACAAAAAAAGCAAAGTGAAAATACAGCTCGTTCCATCTTACCTTGGCAGGTGCTGTTGACCATCTCGTAGCCCTCCTGGCACTGGCACTGTCCGATTGGCACCAGCCACTCCCCGTCCATGGTGCAGTGCATCCTGGGCGTGTCGTCGCTGACGGCGTGAGGCACGCAGACTCCCGGCACCTCGGTCAGCGGCTGTGACTCCCGGCCGGCCACCGTCTCGGGGAAGCTGGCCAGGCTGCTGACAGTGGCTGGGCAGGACTTGTAATAGACCCTGACGGAGAGCAGGGCGACGCAGGCGCCGATGTCCTGGAAGGCCAGGTAGAAGCCCTTCTTGGAGAGCGGCCCGACGATGCGGTGCTCCGCATTGATCCTCAGCTCGCCCTTCACCGTGATTTCGTCGGGCGCGATGGTGGCCACCTTTTTGAAGTGCCACTTCTGGAAGTTGGTGCCGTAGTCGACGTCGGACTCGGCGAAGTACAGGTTGAAGGTCTCCTTGCAGGACAGCGAGGCGCCGTCGAAGCTGTTGCAGTCGCGCACGATGAAGCGCAGGTCCACGAAGATGCGCGAGGCCTCCCGCCGCTGGATGAAGTTGGTGCGCAGCCAGTTGTCCTGCTCGTTCTGCGCCACGTTGCACACGGAGTAGGTGTACATCATAGTCCCGTTCACCACCGTCTGCAGCAGGTCCCACTGCGCGGGGAGGACAGAACAGCGTTACGGCGAGAGGCACGGTGTGAAGGGCAGCCCCCCTCTCGGGCAGGGTGGGGCAGGACTCTGTTTACTGCCCCCCCGGGGCTGTACTACTGCACAGCTTAGTGCTTCAGCAAATAAGGAGGGGCAAGATGGCAATAAGAGGTTTTAAAGTCATTTTAAAATCTGCCTTTAATCTGCGTTTAAAAAACAAGTAATTCTCTCTCCATTATTACCCCCCAGCCTGTGTCCAGAAAGCAGCGACTGGCTCTGCGTGGGCTGGGGTGTCTCGATCAGAGACTCGATCGCTCACGGGAGCCTCAGGGCTGCAGTGAGGAGGAGTCATGCCCCCGGGAGAGGAACTCGCTTCCCGTGTGAAGGTGCTCTGTGTTCCCATGGAGCTGACATCCCCCAGGGCTGGAGTTACAGCCCCCCACCCCCCCGTCAGCCCGGAGCTGTGCCTGTGCTGCAGGGAGGTCAGTCTGTGACAGAGCCTGAAACAGGACTTTGGTGGAATGTTTCCTTGCAATGCATGATACCCAGGGGCTTCTTTAACCAAACTCAAACCTGATTAATATCTTTTAGAGGCCAATGAAACTGCTCAATAAGCCACTGATGAAAGCATCAGCTGAAAGTGCTCATGGCTGTTCTGTAACAGCATTATCTCTCTGAGCCGCCCCCCCCCCTGCGCGGGGGCACAGAGTCTCACCGCATGGCCGCCCCCACACTCGCACACACAGGCCTGGACCCGTGTGACAACAGGAGACGGGATCAGCACCTCTCCGCTTCTCCATCACCTGGGAGACCCAGGGAAGGGAGCCAATCAGATAGGCTGCCTGCACCACATCGCCACGGCGATGGGCCCTCACACACATGAGCACTGAGGAGCCAGGAGCGGGGATCAGGGCGGAGAGGGCAGGGTGGGTGCAGAGTGGGGCAGAGCGCTGATCAGTGTCGCGGTCAGAGACGCCTCCAGCGAGCCCAGCGACACTGGCACCAGGGTGGGCACAAGCTGCTCTCTGCCTACCAGCAGCCCAGGTCGGTCCCAGACTGACCCCTCAGCACAGCCCCACAGCCCACGCCAGCCAACAGGCACGTCCAGGACTCCAGCTGGAACAAACTCATTCCATCTGTCTCTGGAGCAGCAAGAAGTACAGGGGGCTTCGTTCCTGTTTATCCGTTGGGAAATACGTTTGAACTGTTTTTAATCCTGCGCTCATGTTTTTGCTTTTACAGCTCGGTCTTTCATCAGGCACTCAGGCTGAGACACATAAAAAACTCAATAAGGAGATCATTCCACAAGCTGCATCCTTCATTTTTACTTGAAATGTTAATTATACCCTTAGTTATACAAGTTAATGATAATACTCTAAACCCACACCAAGCCACAAATATGCTCTTGGCCGGGCTGCTCTGTGAGCAGGACGGAGCAGCTATGTGGCGCTGCTGCCCTGTAGAAACACAAGCACACAAGAGCAGAGACGTGTGACCCCAGATCAGGGGTGCACCCTAATAACAGCCTCTCAGCGTTTCGCACACGTACTCCCGCTGGAGGGATGACACTGAGGACCCCGAACACTCACCCCCTCCTCGTACGGCCGGGTCAGCCAGCCCAGCTCCCCTCCGGCGGAGGCCATGTCCAGCAGCACCTCTGTGTGGAGACAGGGAGACAGAGAGACGTCAGGGTGCAGAACAGACCACGCCCTCCGGCCCTCTGAGGCGCAGACAGGCCTGGCATCGCAGGACAGAGGCCGTGAAGGGAGAAGGTGGAGGATGAGAGGGAAAAAGAGCAGGAAAGGGAGGCTGAGAAAAACAGGAGAAGGATAAAGATGAGGAGAGAAGACTTTGAATTGAAGGGAATTCAAGGGTATTTGAGGGTAACCGCTACACCCCGAGACACAGACACTGTGTAACCACTACACCCCGAGACACAGACACTGCGTAACCACTACACCCCGAGACACAGACACTGCGTAACCACTACACCCCGAGACACAGACACTGCGTAACCGCTACACCCCGAGACACAGACACTGCGTAACCCCTACACCCCGAGACACAGACACTGCGTAACC